TGCTTATTCTATTTTGTCATCGTAGAGTAAATGTTCTGTTCTAGCTGCTCGGTTAGTACATATGGGTTTGTAAATGTCAGCTTTACTTCATTTCCATCCACTATCATACTCATGGTCGAAGTAACGATGTTCATAAATTTACTTGTTATCCATGGAAGATTTTATGATGGCCTATATTGTTGAGATAAAAAAGAATACTCGAATTCTTCATCAAAAGTGGATTTTTCTAGGGTACAATAGAGTCTTAGAGGGAAATAATAAAATTTTTGAGAGAACATTTTTAGTGACTATTGAGAATATTGAAAGAAACATAGACTTCATGACCAGCATAATGTTTTGAAAAAAAAGCAAGAGAGCCGAAAAATTTCAACCTACATAACAGTTTCAGAGTATTTATTCAATGCTTCTAATAAGAAGTTTGATGCAAAACGATGTTCAAAAGATCGATAATCAGTGTCCTATTTTTTTTGCGCAGAACTTTTTTTGCCAAAGAGATGCCCGATGCGCCATTTATCTTCCGAAGACTTTTTCTTGGACTTCTTTTTATGTGATACTTTCTCGTCAACTTCATCCTGTGTATTTTCAAGTAAATCTTCAATCATCGTCAACACACGTTGATCCGCACGACCTTCCAGCTGGACTTGCTTCGTTACTTGTCGTAAGACGATTGTTGGATCAGAGTCATCGGTATTTGTCGCCACTAGAGATGATCTATTCTGCTTTTTCGTCTCTGCCTTAGTTTGAGTGGGAACCTGGCTGCTTTTTGATGAATCATTTTGAATGTCGCTATTCAATTTGTTGAGAGCATCACCTGCTCGTTTCACTATAGTTTGATCTGTATCAGCAAAGGTTTGAATCACATGAAGGAGAAAGACAACACCACCTTGTTCGACAATAATTGCATTCATCGAAGGCTTTTGAGCGAAGAGATCTATTAGTCGACAAGTCGCATTGATGTACGAATTGACATCAGTCTTTGTTTCCAAAAATGATTCACCAATGCTGATCAAATGTTCAAAATAAGTTGCTGGAATCGGTTTCGGATTACTTTTCGTCAAATGGTACAGTTCATTGGCAGCTTCAGTGATTGCTTGTATATTGCGATGTTCAATTGGTTGATCCGATTGATATTTCAACGTCAAAAGATGATCTAAAACATTGGGTGGATCAAGATGAATAGTTGATGATTTAACAGTATCAGGCCACAAATCTGCATTGGAATCAACTCTTTTTGAGCCGATGACTAGACGAGCGTATACTTGTTCACAAGAGAGTCGTTCTTCTACGTCCTCATTCCATGTTTGATAAAGAATATTGGCAAACATTCGTGGAATATGTTCATACGAGATAGGTAGTCGTTGACCTTCGCAAATTTGACGGATGATCTCTCCAGGTAACTGATTCGCATAAGGTACTTGACCCGTAGCCAATTCCCACATAACCACACCCAGGCTATAAACATCACTAACTGTGTTGAACACGCGTCGATTCATCGTTCGCAAAGTTTCAGGTGCAGACCAAGCTAGAGTTCCAACACTACCATGAATTTGATCTAATCCAAAATCGTTTATTTTCGCCCGATATCTTCGACGATCACTGCCATAATAATCCAGAAGAATATTTGATGATTTGATATCTTTATGAATAATCGGCGGTGAGCAATACGTGTGAAGATAGAGAATAGCATTGGTAATCTGTTTAGCAATGGACCAACGATCGGTCCAAGTGAATTCTAATGCTTTGTCTCGTAAAATGGCATTCAAGGATCCCAAAGGCATCAGCTCACTAAGAACAAGATAACGATCCGGTTCTTCAATACAGGCACCAAGATGTTGCACAATATTTTCATGACGAATACGCGTGAGAATCGCTACGGCTTTGACAAATTCTTCTTGTTCATGTCCTTTCATGGCAGAAATCTTTAGTTCTTTGACGACAACTTTCGAATTACTCCATCGTCCTTTGTACACGTTACCCGAACTGGCACTTGCGATCAATTGTTCAAGTATAACTTGACTGTATTGTACATGGATGAAGAGTTTCTCTTCTTCATGCATTTGTTGTCGTTTGTAACCATCCATCAGTGCCTCAAGATTCTGTTTGTTATTATCGACCAATGATTGAAACATGCGCTCTATATTGCCTAGTTGAACTTGATGTTGTTGTGAATATTCACTTTGTAAGCGAATGATCTTGTCGAAGTTCTTTGATAAAAATTCTCGATCATCATGTCGATCGATTTCGTCCTGTTCACCCTTGAAATGGTTTTGTACAGCTAAGGCTAAATTTAAATCTGTGGCACATGAATAAAGCGTTTGATTCAATTCATCAAATGTATCACGATGACATGCTTGATCATAAACTCGAACAAACCAATTACTCTCTGTAAATTTCTTTATAAATGCATAACAACGTTCAACACATACGAGTAACCGTTCCAATGCTGCTGTATATTTGTTTGTCAGTGCTTTTTTTCCGTGCAATTGTTGAATCAATGGAACAAGCACCGAAATTCGATCGTTCAAACGTCGACATCGTTTATTATTTGCTCGAACATTGTCGACAAGAACTTTGATTTTCCAAGCGACTTCAGCGATTTTTAGCGCGATTTCCATTTTGAATATGATGATGATATCAATATAAAGCGTAATATGCAACTCACTTGCTGATAAGGCGTTTGTCAGGCACAGTGCGATAAGTGACGTGAGCTTGCATTTTTTACATAAGAATTAAGTTGTGTGTCTCCTTGGTGTATATGCATCAGTTTTGTCGTCGAAACGAAATCTTATCAAGCAAACAGTTAGAAAGGTGATACCCATAGGAATTCTATTTAACCATTGAATTTACTTCGCGTCCCTTTTCTAATAAACAAAAATACAAGAAGAAGTTTTCTGCAAGACTTTTTCGAAAAACTCTCTAGTTACCTTATTATTACTGATTTGAATTCGTTATCACTTCAATGTATTAATTTACCTCAGCTTATTACGATGTTTCACTGTCGTCAAGATGTCGACATTATGTCGTCATTGCATGTAGGATGAATTATAAGATGATGAAAGGATGCCGGCAGTTTCTGCTTCAGTCTAACCAATGGTTTTCAATAAATGCCATGTTATGCAAAAGAAATAAAAGAATCATCGAGTAAATTACGAATTAGGCGTCGTCAATACACTGTGCGTTCCGACTTGGAAGAAAATCATTTGAGCCAATTCACTCAATATTCAATAGCCGATGAAGTGCTCATGCGAAAACGAAGAAATAATTAGTGTTATGGTTCATTGAGCTACAGCAATTAAGCGCAACTTCGCACAAAATTATTTAATATCGACTATTAAAATGACGACCGATTAAAGCCAATACGATACATTGGCGAGAGATCAAAAGGCATATATCGTTGATGTATTCCAACAGTTTGCACACAACTATGAACAACATGACCTGATAGATTTTACTGTCGTAAACAAAAATATCTATTCTCTTACTGTCGATAAATATCTCTGAATTGATCGGGCTAAAGTCTCTAGTGCTAATAGAATCTCTTTCATGCGACAACAATAGACTTGCCTATTTAAGTTTTGCAAAATCATTTTGAATAGCAAGCGCAAATAAAATTATTCAAAACAGAACTATAAAGTCCATCCGGGAAATCATAAAAGCTTCATATTAACTTCTTCAACTATTTAAGAGCTATTCACGCTTCTTGTTAGTTCGATCTTTTAGAAGAGTGAATATTTAGAATTTATTTGCAATCCTTTTCATATAATCAAAATGTCAATATATACTATCGATCATATTTCTTTTACTCTTCATGTAATTTTACTTTACATAGACTCAAAGAAACTGTCAGCTAAAGTTTTAAGCCTTATAACAACAATATGAAAAAATTTAACAAATTGATTTCCGTGTTGGTATACTTTCTTTACATTATTTTTATTCCAAGTTACTGAACAAAACAAATGATTGTATGCATTCAGATGATTACATAGTGAAAAATAATCTAGAAAATTCTTTTATGTAGACCAGATAAGCTTTTTCAGGCACAATGACTCTGATTCTGTTGTTATAAAAAAGAGACTCATTTTTTATACGAAAGAATGAGGAAATAATAAGAGTGTAGATAAATTATATTTTTCAATATTTTCATTCTTCGAAATAGTTCGATGAAGAGCCACCGATATTTATTGCGTCACGGCAAGAAAATGCTGTAACTTAAATACTAAAAAAAGAGGAGAATTAATTGTAAATCACTAAATTTAAATCGAAAATTTTTACTGACATTTCAATTTTGTCATATGAAAACCATCTTGATTATACACAGTGAAAAACGATGTTCATCGTTGTTGACGATAACTTTAATACAAGACTAACAAAATATTTATTTAGAAGTTTTGCCATATTTTTTCTGATTTATTCCATTAAAAAAACACAGAGCTCATTATTCTATTTCATTGTATTAAATCAATAAATATCAGTAATAGAGTTTTTAAAAAAGTTCAAAATAACTCACAGGATTTGTTCTCATATGTCAAAGAATTCATTAGTACAACGAATAAAACAATACGGTGATTGTGAGAAAAAAAACCGTCATTGTAAAGTAAAGTAAGGATGACCACCGTAACTGTCTTAGTTATTGGCGTTCATGTTCTTCTTCTATCAGGATGCAAGTTAACACGACGAAATCGTAGCTGTAATTTGTGTTTCTCTGAGAAATGAATGAAGACGATAGGTGAACAACACCAATGGGTATGAACGTGAGTAAAATTACTAACCACACTTATTCATCACACGGTGTCAAGAGCGTGTCGAATTCAACCAGACGTAGCAAAGATATCTTTGAATCCGAAAATGAGCAAGTCCATTAGTTTGTAGTAGATTGTCAATACTTCGAGAATACCGAGGAGACACTTGTATTAGAGTTTCTTGAATAACTTCTTGAAGTGCATTTTGAACAATGGTCAAACTCATGTCTTCGTTCATGTGTTTACATAAATAAGCATCTACGAATGGGCCAAGTGTTATGCTAGTAACAGAATGGACGTTAAAGTTGAGACGTTTCATAGCAGCCTATGCAACCATAGATGTGTAGTGGTTTTGGTCGCATGCATGGATGCATGTGACCAAAATGATGATTATACCATATATTGTGCACTCGATTAATCTAATGAGTTTCTTCAACTGGCGGCAAAATGTTAAGCAGCTTACTATTAGAAAAAAGTGACATCGTAACATGGATAACATGTCTAGCTGAAATTTGAAGGTATCGATCTTAACAAGTTAGTACGTAGATAGGCCAATAAAATAACTTCATTCAAGTCTACATAGATTGTCAATACAACTGCGAAAAATGAATAAAGCTCATTAGTTTGATTGATGCATAGTCTCGTCTTGATTATACATGACATCGTAAAAAAAAATATTCGCGATAAAAAATTCAAAACTCTTAGTCTGCTTTAATCAATCGAGTTAATGATTTTCTCAATAATAGAGAACTGTTCAGAGTTTTTATTTACAAAAAAAAACTGGTTAGCAGATGCTAGGGTGCGGGTGTGAAGCTGAGAGAAAAGCCACAGTCACACCCTCAATTAGAATCAGGATTGTGTAATCGTGCCGAGAATGTATGAAAAATATTTTTTGTCTTACTTAAAATTGGTCCTTTCTACACTAATTGTTTGTTAGAGTAAAAGAGACTATCTATACAAGTAAAGTTAACTTTTTTGCTCGAATCGCAGTTTGTGTAAATGAGATTTTTTTTCTGGATATTGCAATTATCCACAAAATGAGGTATTACAATAACCTAGAACTCAAAAATAACTCAAACATTATGCAATCCATTTAACTAAGAACTAGTTTTCATGTAAAACTGTATTTACTCAACATTCAATTATGAAAAATCTATCAATCGTTCTGAAAATTGAAATCTTGAAAAACATTTTAATCAAAATACGAAGAAAACAGATGAATTGTTTAATGATTTTTTTCGATTCTTTCAAGTATTTTTTTTATAGGAAATAATTAAATGTTCTAATTACAAATTCTATTGTGTTCTTCAAATATTAACAGTCATGTGATGTTAATTCTGAGGATTAGATCTATTTATGATGCATCACAGTAAGATGTTCGAAAAAAGCTATAAGATGAAACAAAAATATTAATATTAATACTTTCTTTTGTCTATGTTTTTTACGTAAAACTTCATTTTTAACCATAGTCATATCATAAAATCTAATTTACTGCACGCATTTTTTTGTGTCCTTGAAGATACAATAAAACCCTTATTATTAAAAGTGAATGAGAAGTTTCATTTTATTCAAATTGCAACTAAATTATCAGACTGCAACTTTCAACAACATCATTGTTTGTCGTTTAATGGTATTCAGAGATTGAAATAATCTGAATTTTCACAAGAATATACAATTAAGTATGACACTCATGCACTGTTCTTTAAACAAAAAAATTAATACAAAAATTTTAGATCATAAGATCAAAGATAACACTTTATGTGTTGTTCTATACAGAATTTTGAAAATTTTAAATCGCAAATATTATCAAATCATAATGCACTAACATACGAATTAGTTTATCTCAATGTGTAACGTTTAAACATAAATTCTAAACACATTTTATACTGATATTATTCTTGTTAGATTGACGACTTCTGTTCTTTTTTTACAATGGCATGAGATTACTTCACAGGAAACTGAAGTTGCTCGAAACAATACATTATATTCTCTTTGTCTTTCTTTGGTTAACATTCTTTTATTTTCAGTTTATAAAACTTATAAATCAGTTTATTTCGTTGCTTATCATTCATGAATTGACAAAACGGACATCCAATAAATAAGCAATAATAAATGTAATGCGCAGTTGTCATCTTGACTTTATCAAAGTTATTTAAAACAAAAGAAAAATATTGCTACCAGAAGTCTATATAAAGACGATTGAATTCTTAAATACAACACATTCTAATTAAATCCTCTTGAAAACCTATATAACATAGTTTTATTCGATAAAAAAATAAAACAATGCATTCGATATATTTTTTTCTACTTGCTTTAGGTAAGAATATTATCAATAAAGAATAAAATATTGTGATTAATAATTATATGCATAGGCTGTATCAACATAGTCAGCACACTTGAATGTTACGTCTGCTCCACTAGCACCGGAAGTGCATGTGCTGATACGTTCAATGCAAATAATCTCACCCTAGTTACCCATCCACAAGTTGATGACGATGAAGTGTGTGTGGTATGTTTATGATAAAAAAATCTTTTGTTTTAATATCAATAATCGTTCATATCTTCTTGTTATTATTTTAGAAAAGAAAAAATGAGACAAAAGGTGGCGTACGTGTGGAAAGGAATCATATGAAGGATAAGTTTCTATGCTATGGAGGAATCAATGGCTGCTATCAGGAAACTCAATTTGGTATGGCCGTAACTGTATGCTGTTGTACAACGTATCGTTGCAATGATGTATCTATGGTACGACAACAACCTTTTACTGTTTTCATTACCATAAGCACACTTGTCGTGTTCACATATCGATGGTTTAAAGCATAAACATCATCTTTTTTCGTCTATCGAAATTTGATAAATTACATTTTCAATTTTTTTCAAATTCTATTCTAAAAAAAAAAGTCTTTTTTAATGTCTTATAAGCATGATTTTTTTCGCAGCCATACATTCGATTGAATATTACTTTCAAATACTATAAAAATGTTCTTTTCGTAATAAAGATTCCAAAACAATTCTTTTGTATTTGAAAAATATGCATTTTAAAAGTTCATACTTATTATTGAATATGAATGTTGTCTTGTATATGAGATAATTCAAAACTTCTTGAAGAATCTAATTTTTTATTGAATAGACAATGTTTTCGAAAATCTTATTTCATTAAATATATAAAGTACTCGTTCTTATTTACTATACAATGTTTTATTCTATAAATCCATTTTTATTAGATGGTGTCAAATCATGAGAATAAATTGGAAGTGGTGTCACAATTATGTCTTGTTCTTGAAGAAATGTTTCGATATCGTTTGTTTTTCGTGGTCTTGCATTTTCATGATGCAGCTTGATGACATGTAAAACAGAATTCAGGCATTGTTCTCAGATATTGTCAAACTCAGGTTACAAAAGAAGATCATAAATATATTTTTCTTGGTTCACAGGTATTTTGCCACCTGATCTTTGTTGCTGGTTTAACATTTTTAGAACGCCATATCATATTAGATTGTTTTGAATGGATTCTCCGATGATAAATTCATATCGGATTTTACAGGAATCGATTGAAAACACACGAGAAAAATTCTTGTATTCGATAAGAAAGTGCTTTACCTATTCGGCTACTGCGCTGTATGACATAAAAGCTTCATCGCATACATCACTAAAGTCCATCTGAATTTGTTTTTCTGCACAGTCGAGTTTAAGTCTTATGACGGTGTAAAAAGAGAATCGAAAATAATAGTACTGAAAATTTTTTTGGATCAATCTATGCATTATCTTTTGATACAATCGACAATTTACAAAGTCTTCTTAGTTGGTTTTTCGTTGTATATAAAATTGTGAAAACGATCAGTTAGTCTCAATGGATGTAGAATATCTTTATTTAAAAAAAAAACCTTCTGATTCTTCTAATTGAGATTGAAAAAATTCGATTTATGAAGAATGCATATGTGTGCAATAAACTCACTACCTGGAGTATTATTTTGAATGAATACAAAACTAAATATTAAATATTGAAATGATTTCTTTTATTCGAAAGTCACAGTTTGATAATTTTTATTGATTGATGAATTATAAAAGATTGAGAACAATATTTATTCATTACTAGAACATCAAACATTTGCTTTATTCTGAAGGACAAAAAACTTACGTTTATTGAGTTTGAAAACATACCTATAGAGGAACACATTAAGGTTTATTTTATGAAAAGACAAGAAGATCGACGTGTCAATATTTGTTCTCATGTCACTTTTAAGTGGATTATTGTCAATCATAAATCATTGAATGGGATGATATTCTTAGTGGAAAAGAACAACAAAATAATATATTTTATATAATCATAAAATAACTAAGTAGTGATGATATTTGATTCTACTTTTCTTTCATACTAATAATAAGTAACAGAATTTTTAGTTTTTATTGATAGAAGAAATCAATATACGTTGAAAAGTAAAATTTAATTAAAACCTTCGATTCATTAGAAGATTCTCGCCACAAAAAGTCATAGATTTTGGTAGTCTCACCAACAATTCTTCATTCATAGTGAAGTGTGCCGTTAAGAGAACTATTAGTCCCAAGGATTTTACCGAATATGTTTCTATCTTTGAAAGATCTCTTAATGTGCGGATGTGCACTGCATTAACTAGATCTTATAACTATGAGAAAGTATTTCTCGTATACAGAACTTAAAGAATCCTTTCTTTAGTAATAGCTGCTTTTGAAGATTTTTCTAACTTGAAACTGATACTTCTCTATGAAGGTGGAAGCAAAATATTGTCCATATTGAACTTAGAATTATAGTGAACACATATACTAAAAAAAAATCGTTTCGTTATAGGGATCTTCTAATGTGTCGAAGATCTTTATCAATGTTTCATTGATAACTTGTAATATAATACGAATCAAAATCATCTATCTATTCAATCATAAGATATTAGAACGATTGAATTGAAACTGAATATCAATTATAACAAAATCAGCCATTAAAGTCTTGCTTTCTTTATTATTTTTTTTAAAGATACGATAGTAATTATAATAGAAAAAATTATTTTTTATTTGTTATTTTCATCAACGGATTATAATCATGATTGTCATAAGCATGGTTAGCATCATAAACCAACTCATATGTATTCCTTTCATGGCATGATTACAATAATCTGTATTACAACAATACCGAATACCAAACGGAAGTGTTACATTACAGGATGCAGGTTCAGCTAAATAAATTTATTAATTCCATATAAAATAATGCGTTTTATAACAATTAAACTTACCACAACCTCGTCTAGCCATACCAAAAAACATATCATCTTTCTAAATAAATATAAATTTGTATTCGATAGATTTGATCTACATTACTTACAAAGCAATATTTTTCTTGGGGACTTGAACAATTCTTTCGATTTGCATCAATAAGACATGATGGTTTATATAAATATTGTTGATAATGTTCGTAACAAGCAAGAGCTAAAATAAAGCTTTTTTTCTTTTAATAATAGAAGCATTTTTTGAATTGAGCAAACCTTGTACGGTTGAAACTAAGAGTGTTAATAGTAGCAATGAAAAAAGTAAGTAATTCATGTTAATAGTTAATGACAAATGAATGATGGATAAAATCTACGAAAACTAATATTGAAATATTTTTTTCATACTGTGTCTATTTTGAAATGCATAATGGAAAATAAAGAAAAAAAAAGCATAGAGTTTGATTCGATAAATATTACATCATGACGTGGAATAAATAAATCCAGTATTATCTAGCAATTCAAATACTTAAATAAATTTGTCTTCTATGAATTGTGATCATTAAAATTCAATTGTCTACAAAGCCCAAAAAAAACACGAAATTTAAAACAATCTGATTCGATAATACCAATTAATTAAACTTCTATAGTGTGACATTATGAATTCTAGAATAGTCACATGAACATGAAAGAATTAAACATCATTTACTTAATCAATATTTGTTCCTAGTAAATAGAAGTATGCAATGAAATCTATTGATATATGCATTTGAAGAGAAGAAACGGTGTATTTTAAAAATATAGAATAATAAAGATTTTTTTCGATCCATTCAGATTATAGAGCATATCGAGTTGTCTATTAGTCAATAATCTTTCTTGTTATCTAAAAATGAGTTTCAAGTAAAATAATATCATCTTAGAGATTTTCACACTGAAATATTGTTATGTATTTTCTACAAAAATAAATGATTCGAAACAGAAAAAATTGATTTTTTCTAGGGAGTCTGATATTGTGAATAATCTCTACAAAGTAACAATAATTATTAGCAAAAAGTTTATTAGTTTAGAAAATCAACTTATGAAAAAATAAGAGAATTTCTCATAATCGATAGCGTACAATTAATTAGCATTCGGTGAGAAATCGATTGATCAGTTGAGAACGTTTACTCGTGAAAAAAAATTTCGAAGTTGGCATAAACAAACAGGATTCCATATTTAAACATGAGATGATAACAATTGTGTTAATTATGATTCTTCTAATGGAAATCATTCATACTATTCTCAAGGTAATTTTTATTCATTTTGTCTACATATTCATTGCTTTTACTTTAGCAAAAAATATGGAATTATTTGTTTTGTTCTTCTCACATTCTCAGCTATTCACGTGTGGCCGTGTAATTTGCACTTGAAAAATTTAAACATTTTTTTTACTTTTGTATTCATTTTACTTGTTTGGTAACAACGACGATTATGCCACGAAATCAAAATACTGAAGTTGTAAAACAGAAAAACGAAAAGAACTATCATTTATATATTCATATTATCTTTAATTTTTTATTTAGCGAGTTGTAGTTGTTCGAACAGATGTTGATGGAAATGTATTAGATTATGATATTGTTGAACAACCTATTAGTTCAGTTCCTACTCAACGAACTGCACAACTTTATCGATCACAATCAATTGAACCAACATCAAGAGCTAATCGAACACAAAATAGTAATAAGAGAGAAGAAAAAAATAAACATATTCCCAATAATAATGAATCATTGAGAACAGCACACTCATATACAAGTACCAGAGTAAGATGAATTCAATTGATATATAATATTTTCTTTTTGTATCTTATTCTATAAAGACAACACCAAGACGACGTGTTCGTTATGTTCGTCCAACATCGACTGTTAAAGTACAAATTTATTTATTTATTCAATATAATCTTACTAGTTATTTAATTTAGATTTTCCAAGAAAAAGTTAAATGGTATGCAGAACCAAAGATAATGTCACATAATGATGAAGCAATAAGACAAATTCGTCGTGCGCCTAAAAGAAAAATATTTCTTCGAAAATTATCTTGGAATACTGAATCAAAACTTGATACACATAATGAAGAAGCTATAGAAACTATTCGTAATAGAACAAGATCTCAAGTAGAATTTTTTTTTTGTTTTTGAATTTCAATTTAATAATTATTTTTTCTATATATTTAAAAATAAATAGATATTTGAAGAAAAACCAAATTGGAATGTTGAAACAAAAATTGATTCACATAATGAAAAAGTAGTAGAAGCTCTTCTTCAAGCACCAAAACCACGAGTAGTTAATTCATTTTTTTTTTGTTTGAATCAATTTTTATTATTATTCATAAAAGATTCATGATGAAAAAATTAATTGGGATGCAAATACAAGAATCGATACTCATAATGAACAAATTGTTCAATATCTTAAAAATAGACCAAAATCAACTGTAAGATTTTATATCATAATAATATTATGAATTTAATTTCATTAAAAAAAAAAACAAAAAGATTCATGATGAAAAAATTACATGGCAATCAAGTCCACGAATTGATCATCATAATGAAGAATATGTTCAACATATTGAACGTGAACGAACATTACGAGAACAAACAGCAAGATTACATGTTCAAGTAGAACTATTTTTCAGAATTATTTAGTTTTTTTTTTCGAATTTTTCTTATCTAGAGTCTTTCACAAGAACGAATAGTAAAAGCAGACAAACCTCGTATTGATCATCATAATCCTGAATATGTCGAACATAAGAAAAGAAGAAAATCATCAAGACTTCCTGTATGACAAAAACAAAAAAAAGAATAGCTAATAAATTGAATAAGATATGAAAATTTATAATTTTTTTTACATTTTAGCCAATTGAAGATCGAAAACTTGAATGGAAAAAAGAAGCTCGTATTAATCAAAAAAATGATGATTATATTGAACGTATTCGACAAAAACGATCCATACCTCTTGTATTCAATTAATAATTTCTTATTCGAATATAAATACATAGAAATTTTATTTTTTAAAGATTTTTCGAGAAAAACTTGAATGGGCTACAAAAACACCACGAATTAATGCACATAATGACGAATATCTTGAAAATTTAAAAGATCAAAGAAGACCAAAAGTAAGAATTTTATTAAATAAATCACTATTCTTGATTTGTCTTTTTTTTTTATTAATCAGATTGTTGATCAATTACCTCAATGGAGTTCACATTCAAAAATTAATGCATACAATGATAATTATGATCCAAATTCTGATTCACGTCTTAAGCCATTGGTAAATATATTAACAAAATAAGTTAACAATAGTCAATACAGAAAGTGATTTTACTAGTCAATGAAATTTCCTATCTAATACATTCTATAGCAAGGTTTCTAAAAAATCGGTATACAATAGTTATATCAAGTCACAGAAGACTTTGTCGAAATGCTATAGCATATATTTGGTAGAAAACTCCATTGACTATTACAGTTACAATCTGAATTAGAACAAGATGTTTTACATTATTGCTTCAGTTCAATAGTATAATATTTAAACCTATAAATTAAGATTGAATCAAGCTTGATTTATATATATATATTTTTTTTTTTATTATTTCAATAGATTGTTAATGAAAAACTTGAATGGTATGGACGATCAAAAATTGACACCGGTCTTCTATCTGGTACCAATCAAGGAAAGGTATTGCTATATTCATTCTTTTATATTTTTTTTTGCTTTATTTCTTTTTTTTTATACAGTATGCTGATTATAGGTTGGCTACTTGATCAATTTATATAAATTATTCTTCGTTTTTTTTTCTCTTAATTTCCACTTGATTCTGTCATATTTTCAAATTTGCATCAAACATATATATAAAACATGTAAAGATTGTGAAAGTTCTTCATTGTGCTCTTTATGATGATATACTGTTGAATGGCTTCTGTCAATAAGAGGAGCGCATATAGCCAACCTAACATGTCTATGTGATGATGAAAAAGAAAAAAAAAACGAATGCTATACATATGTATATCATGACCTTGATCTATTTAAAACGTGTTTATAGAAATAAAAAAGAAACGAGAAGAAGCATCGTCGTACAAAAAAGAAAAACACATAATATTTCACACTATAAAAGATACTATCAAAAAAATACTGAGAATAAAATTATTTGAATATATTGGTAAAGCAGAAGAATAATAATGTCTATTTCTTGAAAGATCTATAATTGATCGAATAAAACTATTATAAGTACCTACACGTGTATAAATTCCAGGTGTATCCGGTTTACCACTAAGAAAATAAAATGAACAATAATTCATCTTTTATAGTGTAATATAATTCATAAATATCTTACCATGACTTTCCAAATGATGTAATACCTATTATTTCCCAACGGCTATCTGAATTTTCTACCATTAATGGTCCACCTAAGAATAAAGAAAAAAAAACAACATAAATAATAGATATCCATTAAATAAAGAACCTGAATCAGCTTGACATGTATCAATACCACCATTAAGTTCTCCTGCACAGATTTGTCCTTGAGCATGAGTTACATATATATTACATGGCCATTTTGTTGTATCAAGAAGAGGTAAAACAACTTGTTTAAGTGATTCTGATGGACGACCACCAAATGATGTTGAACCCCAACCAATAGCTACTGCAGAAGATTTAACAGGTGGATAACTTTTTCCCATCATATCATTAGGTGGTAAACAAATTGTTCCTATACGTGGATCATTTTCAGGTAATAATGTATCTAATGTTATTATTGCTACATCATTAGCAAATGTTTCTGAATCATATTGAGGATGTATATCAATTGATAATGCTGATATGGGAGTTTTTTTTTCATTTGTATAATGTATACCAGCTAATATATTAATATCTGATATTCCTTTAAAATCTTCTATACAATGTGCAGCTGTTAAAACATGACGTCTTGTTAATAGAACACCACCACATAAATGTAAATTATTTAATGAACGTTTAGCTAGTGAAACCATCCATGGATATGAATGTGGTACAGCATTTTGTCCACCCATAATACGTCCAAAACGATTTGTTACTTGACTTCTTCCACAAGCCCAATTTGATAATTGATCAGCTTGTTGATTAGGTAATGTATTTTTATAAAAATTTGATGATGGTATATCATTATTTGTCCAATACCATGAATAAGCTGATGGTTGTTGATTTGATGAGTAATACCATTTTTGACCTGAAAGTGTTTCTTCTTGTTTTTGTTGTTGATAATAAAATTGTGGTTTATTAAAAATAGTTTGATATTGTCTTATTGGAGATTTACTACTAGTATTAATTATAATAATATTTAAAAAAATTAGTTGTAGAAATAATATATTGAACATGATTAATAATAAATTTTTCGTTTCTTTTTATTTTATACATCAACCAACCATTTTTGTCAGTTGACATATCTTTTACAGTGACATATTATTTTACAGCATAGAAAAAAAACACACTATGAAGAGAGAAGAAAAAGAAAGAAAGTCCTTTTTAAGTTATAATTATTTCATGTATTTCTCTGTTCCGTTCTGTAATGTTGTGACAGAAAGAGAAAGAGAACGTAGTTTTTTTTTTCATGTTCGCCTTTCGTTGTCACCGATTCGGTTGCAAATGAAAGAAGTCGATTGCGTTATTTTAATAATGAATGTGCCGTACGATGTTGAACGTATAACAATTAATGCGCACAGCTGTTTTATATATGTGCTATTTCCTTTGTCCTTGTTCATTGTAATCACTAGGATTTTTTTTTGCTTTGTTCTATTTAACACAAGTTAAATTATATTTAACGAAAAAAAAAATCGAAAGTCAATATATTGCATTGAATGAATCTTATCTGAATTGAAAAATCATGTCATAAAAATTATTTAATAAAAGCATTGAAGTGTTGAGTGATTGCTTTTTTTCTCAAGTTGATTCGCCTTTTCACTGAATTTAACCTAAAAAACAAACGATGTACTATTAAGTTATTAAAAAAAAATACATTTTCTTCAAATGTCATTTATGTTATAATTTGTATACATATATATTGATTGCAATCATTTAACACTTTCAACGAAAGAAACTATATCGAGAGATCGAAACATTTTTGACAAGTAAAGTTTTGATTCCTGTCTGTAAATAGACTTTTCTTAATTAAACACGATTGAGCGTTTTATATCTTATACTTGTCGACAAAAACAAGAATATCTTTGTCATGTCTGAAAGTAGTTGAAAATAAACCTTCCAACTTATTCATATAAATAATTTTAATTCATACTTAGAAAACGGTATTTGATTAGGTAAACCTTGACATAAATTTGAGATTAGATATCTACAAAAAAAACATGTTCTTTCATTTAGGAAGGACGTCATATAGTCAATGTGCATAAACGTTACATACAACTGAAAACTTTAATCTGATATATTTTATTCTAAATATAGAACTATACAAAATAACAATAATAAAAATTGAATTGGCATTTGAATTATTACTGATTGAGATGAAGAATTTATCTTATCATTGATCCAATCGATAAACATGTTCACTCGTGTATAAACACCTGGATATGTAGGTTTAGCACATCCATATCCATATGATGTTATGCCAACAATATGCCATGTACTTGTATTTGTATCAAAAATCATCAATGGTCCTCCACTAAAATAATATCAACATTATTAATTCTATTTTAATAATTTTCTTTAACCTATCTCCTTGACATGTATCTTTACCACCTTGACTAAATCCAGCACAAAATTGAACATGATCATCACTTATTTGTCGAAAACAATATTGATTTCTATTTGAAATAATTGGCAATTGAACTTGTTGAAGTGTATATGATACTGAACTAGTATTTTCTTCTAAACTTCCCCAACCAACTGCAATAGCATTCATTTTCTCATATGGATATAATGATATATTATTTGGTGGTAAACAAATAAATCCAACGTTTGAATTGTTGAAATCTATTTTATGTGAAAGTTTTAATAATGCGATATCATTTAAAAAAACATCATTTTTATATTTTTCATGTAATATAATAGATTGAATATTATAACGAATTGGATTTGTCTCATTGATATAATGAGCGCCAATAACAACAAAATAATGTGTTGTTAGAAATAAACGAATTTTATCATAAAAACAATGTGCAGCTGTTAAAACATATTGTTCATTGATTAAAGTTCCAACACAAAAAGCAATACCAGGATCTGTTAATGGTAGATAAATACTTGCTTGACGTATACTAACTATTTCAATAAAGATCTATGATAAAGTACAAATAAAAATCAAAACTTACCAACCCATGGCCAAGAATGTTCTCGAGCTGTATAACCTCCAATAATTCTTGAATTAGAAAGAATAGGTTGTTCATATTGACATCCACATTGTTGAAAAGAAGGTATACATGATGAAAATAAGAAATGAACTTTAAGAAAGAAAAATAGAATAAAAAATATCATATTTTCCAGATTGATTATTTAAAATCGAATAAGGTTTGTTTTTCTTGATTAACACATATTTTAAACAAACATCTGTTATTATTCTCATCATACAATATTTTCACTTCAACGCAATATGTTTTTTTTTTTATTTCGTTCTTATACAAAATATAAAAATTTAAATTGAAAAAAAAAAACAGCAACTATGTCTATCTATTATATAATTATGTACGATATTCTGGATGCTGAGCAAAATAATTTTTAACTAATTGTAGTGATCGACTTCGATGACTAATTCGATTCTTTTCGATTTTCTCCATTTCAGCAAATGTTTGACGACCTGGTTGTCCTTTTTCAGTATCAGGTTGAAATATTGGATCCCATCCAAATTGATTTGGTCCACGTGCTGGAACAATTCTTCCTGGACATCGACCATCAAATACAATTGGTTCACTTGTTGGTCCAGCACAAAATGCAAATATACATTGAGCATATGCTGTTTTATCATCATAGCCAGCAAGTAATTTATTTAAACCATCGTGTCCTAATTTATCTAAAAACCATTTTATATATGGTCCTGGAAGACCATGTAAAGCATTAAAACATAAAGATGTATCTTCAATTAAAACTGGACCATTTATACGTTGAGCAGCTAATTTAGCTTTTTCTTTAGAGATTTCTTCTGGTTCACCTTGATATTCTGGCACTATTAAATGAGTCAATAATTTTCTTCTTAGTTTATATTTATCAGATACTTACAATCAAGTTCAGCTGATTTTAAATTAGGTAATACATCCGCTAATATGGCTTGAACTTCAGCTAACTTATTCTTATTTCCCGTAACAAAAGTAATTACCATTCTTTTTCTACCTTAAAAAAAAAGTAAGCAGTGATGGTTTGTTCTCGTTCTGTTATATAAAACGAAAAAAAAAAATAACAAAAACTTGTTACATATTTTTTGTTGTCACAACAACCAAAAACACTCACCTTATCGTAAATAAAGCACCCTAATAAAATCATTGAATAGTTAAATATAACGATGATGAAATACTTTATAATATAATTCCTAAGACTAATTATGACGTCATCCAAGAAAAACAAATTTTGCAAGAGTTTTGCAATCGTATTTATTATTATTATGAAATATATATATTTATAGATAATCAAGAACAAAAAAAAGAACTGTTTAAGGCACCACATAACAATCAATCAAAGAATATTAAGTATCTGATAACGGGATATGTTCAGTATATATTTGAGGTTCTTTAAGAAAAGTTTGTAAACGTAATGGTAGATCAAGATCATCAATTCGATCACGACGTATTTGCCGATGAATAACAAACCGGGTTATATGTTTTAATGATGTCATATAAGCATGACGGGACACTGGGTATAGTAGACGAACAGGTGTCATTGGTTGACCTAGATTAAAAAAAAAAGAAACTTCAATTCAATATTCTGAGACTATATAAATTTCGACTGAAACACTTCAAAATTTACAGAGTATTTGTACACAATAATCGGATACTAATAAGTTTAACTTTTTATTTTTAGAATACATACCAGGTAAATTTGATCGAATAAAAAACATAAATTGACCCGATTTTGAATGTTGAATTATATTCTCAATAAATTCTACTATATCTGATGATGTACACTGTGATTTAGTACTACTATGGTAAAAACCAAATGAATCTATGAAGTAAAATTTTTGTTTTATTTGATTTATTTCATAAAAAGAAAATTATTGGAACTAAACTGTTATTATGTTCAATTCGAGTATGATGAATATTGCCTTGTGATTTAAATGTAACTGCAAGAAAATAATGACGATGATTACTATCTCGAACAATAAATGAATAATCTTGTTTATCTTTAAGTAATCGTTCAGCATCAATCCAACTTAATGGACCCCAATACCAACCAACCTGTATATAAGCAAATAAAAATACTTATAAATTATATATATATATATATATACTTCTTTTAATCTTTGTAAACTATCTAATTGAGCAATCATTGGAGATTTATTTTCATTATCTATTTAGATAATATGAAATCAATCACAAATTTTTTTTTATTAAATTGCTAACCTGTTAATATTTCTGATCTGTTATTCATTTTTACTATTTGTTGTTCGATAAAATTTTCTTTTATTATCAATTGAACATAAATAGTTAAATACATTTTTTCGATATTTCATATCGATTATCAAACAAGAAAATAATACGTATAAAGACGTTCATGATATTATTTCTTTTCTGTTTATATGTTGATCTATGAACATTCAATGATATAGCCAAATGACCAATTAAATGATTGTAGATAGATGGCACTAAATTGGTATATCCTTTAAAAAACAAGTGATTGTTCATTTCATCATAACAGATATAATTATGTATTGGTTATCTTCGTGATTGCTATGATTTTTGTTATTGTAGTCGGAATAAAGACTATTTTTATGAATCAACTATTTTTCTTAATAGTAATCTTAATTGTAAGGCAAACTATTATTCCTTATTTTTGTCTTTCAACTCGTATATCATATGAGCTTGATCTATTTAGATATCAGCGTACTCACAGCATTTCAGAAACATTCTAAGAGCAAAAACAAGCGTTGAAAAATTCCTAATGGAACATTCCATAAACGATGAACCAAGGAAGGAAACATCCATGGTGCACAACTAACAATAAGAGATAAATAAGTTGGAAGAATATATTCGATGGTTTTGGTTACGAATATCTTTTTTGAATGTTTTCCAAAGTGTCATTCAACCGTTATTAGAAACTCATGTATGGCTCCAGAAAGGGCATCTTAGGTCTGTCTCAATTTTGCACTCAAATCACATGAATATATCAGTCTTCAAGACTGAGCTATTGTTTTATGTATTCAATGTGAAATGGTTGTAAGTATAATGCCGAATCTGTATTGTTGTTTCGTTTCATTTCTAGTTTGAAAATCTTAAACTTGGTCGCAGTGTTTAAAAATATGACAATGAGTTGTTGTTATCAACTGATTTATATTTTTAAAATATTTCTATTCTCGACACTTGGTGACTACGCCTTAAATGTTTCTTGTCGAGAACGTTTTTTTTATAAAAACACTCGCGACAGTCAAATCAAATGCAGTGAAATGCGCAATCTCTGCTGTTGAACATACTTTGTTTGATAAATAATCTCTTGTTGTCATATCAAAAGCATTAAAAAAAGTAGTCAATAATGTTCAATAGTTTATCATTTGTGATTAACTAAATGAAGTGATTCTGATGGTAGGAATGACTGTGTAAATAACGTCAACGGGCCAATTCTATTACGGACGCAGCAGGTTGAAGTCCTCCCAAAGCCATATTTAATCCATCGAGTCCAGATATTCGTCTATTGTACCATTGAGCAATTCTTAGTACCTGTTCCTGTGTGACTGATGATGGTGCAAATAAGTCAAAATAAACATTTCGACTATTCTTGCCAGCATTTAGAAACGTATGAAATCTTAAACCTAATGTTATTGGGTATTCACCGAAATTCTGTAATTCTATACCTAGTAAAGAGTATATTCGAAATGAAACGAAATGTAATTCATCAATTATGAAACCATTCCCATATAAGACAATATGACCATATTGACGATTTAACAGTCGTTCATAAGATTCACGTCGACAACAGAAAGATGATAGAGGAGCCAACTCTGTCCATTGTCTAGCAGGACCATGAATATAGTTTAAATAGCGTATCCATTCTTCGCCGTCGAGTCGCCAAACAATCGCTTGTTCTCGACTTAGATTATCGTTAAAATCACTCCACTGCTTGTTCATTTGACAACTCCAGATACAGATAATGAGAGGGAATATCAAAACAATTGACCCAGCAAAAGTTAAACCAAGCACAAATAGTACTGTGTCGGTCCTTGAACATTCTCGAATAGAATCTTTGCATTTAGGTACGGCATATGATATCCCGAATAATATTAGACCAATTAATCCGAAAATTCCAAAAATAATCAAAGCATATATCAGTTGTTTACGTGAACGTTTTTTGTGACAATCAATTAATTCACTTAACAACTGAGATGAGAGAGTCATGTTAGTACTTGGACTGAAGTGGGATTCTACATTAGATACGAATGGGTCCTGTAATAAAAATCAAAGCAAAAATTCAATCTATGATTCAAGTATATTCGAAAACTTCAGGAAATAATATTAATGAGATGTCTTTGGCCTTTTATCATGGAAACGACTAATAAACTTTTAAACAAAAAAAAAAGATTTAAGGTGTCTTTCACTAAAAACTTTTAGCATTTCCAAAACACATAGGCTTTTACAAAAGCATTCTATTCAAGGATTATAGAAATATTGTTCAGATTCTCAACATGTCACGTTATGCCATTTATATCTCATAAATGACTCAAGAGAGAATCATCTTAATCGATATGCTCCAATCAAACTCATCTTATTGGTAGTATTAGCTCTCAACATGTTCATCAAAACTATCCATTTTCATGCCAAGCTGAGATTGAAGTATCGGTTATTTGTTGCAAAACTCAAGTGTTCAAGTAAGACCGTACTTTTAATTTTTAATATGATATGAAATTTTTATTGGTGACAAATGTCCAGATTTCTATAATCTTCTTGAAATCTACTTATGGTTATAGAAAGAGGCAGATTGGCAAGCAGTAGTTCAGGTGATTTCTTTGCCGATTTGATTTCTACTATATGTTTTTTAATGAGAAAGGAAGCTTCTTCCAAGTTTATCCAAATAGCCTTTTAATATTTAACTTCTTATGCTCGAGACACGGAAATTAATGTGATCGACTGAATGATTTTTTTTCTGACATCTGATTTGATTTTAATCTAAAATGTGATTAGAATTATGTTTGAAAATTTCGTTCAGATAAAACATGCGAGTATGGACGGTCTTTAGTCTAAAATCAGCTCGAACTCGGTATCTCTCATTGCACGGAAGTCTTTAGAAAAAGCAGACGTCAAATATGGGCATGTCGTTCCGAAGAAACCTTCTTAAGCTCACATTTGATTGTTGGCCATTGATGTACATTAAAGTATCATTTCGGTTGGATTGTGCTTGTTCATTCATTGATGAATTTGATCTAGGATACACTGCCCTAAAATAATATTCAGAAAATTTTTAAAAAAGTGATTTAAAAATTCCAACAGTATCATTTTTAATTTAATAACGCTTTTTTGTCTAGTCTTTTGTTGTGCAAAGTTATTTATTGTTTTTTTACAAAACTTTCGTTTTAGACTAGCTACAAGGACTATGGGCTTCACCTTGAAGTTACTGCCTTTTAAGTTTAAGCGTTTATTTATAAATTCGTCTATAAGCATCGAATGCATTTTGTCTGAGGATATAAGTGTGATACCGAAATGACAAAAAGACGCAAATATAATAGGGACAAAAATAAAACAAGAGTAATTAAAAAAGTTCAGAGAGAAATCATTCATGAGAGTGAACATAAGCTGTAATATTTTGTTCAAAAACTCAAGGAAAAATTCTTTCTCGAAACGCTCATAAATTGAATTACTGAGATTTTTATTGTTGTGCTAGAATACACGGTTTGAAAAGCATTTGCACACAGTTTCTAGGATACATAGTGAAACGTAGAAAAGGTCGACTTTTGAGAGTTCATGCGCATTTTCGGCAGTCTCTGACTGTTTAGATGCGGATTGGACAAGTAAGACATTAATACTAGCTACGAATTACAAGAGCTAAACGCTAGAATTACTGCACCACTTTTAGTATTAGAGCCACTGTTGAACTTCTAATGATCAAAAAGTAGAAAAAATATCTTCAAATGATCATTCGAACTGTAGTTTCATGGATATATAGCGAGAAAAAAACACATATCTGTCCTTGTTTGCGATAAAAGTTAGTATTGAAGATAACTTTTAAAGGCTAGAAATTAGTGTTAATGTTTCTCTTGGCTGTGTGTGATTCAATTAACTACGACTAACTTACTTTTTATTGACGCAAACGTGACACCTGCAGTTGATGATAATGTGAGACTCCTTATGTTTCATATCCTTTTTATTTTGTTATCACTGCATAGCTTGCAGTTATTATGACGACAGCAAGTTTTGAAAACGTCACAACCATGATAAGTACATATACCATGCCTGATGTGTCAATATCTAACTCGTTGATGTGCCAATATAGTCATACGCCAGAAAACCATAGAAAGTTTTTTTATAATGTCTTCCGACATTTATATTCTAAAATGTGGGTGTAGATGTGCGTGGGTTAGGGTGTGCCTGGGTTGTTGGTTTTCTCTTCATCTTACCCACACTCATACATCCACATCCGTGATCAAACAGAAATTATTATGAATGTCCGTAGACATATTTCCTTCTACAAATATAAAGTGGCTTTTTCTTATTTTCAAATATTTGTCGTTTGCTCTTCATGTTACATGTTTTACTGTTGCAACATTCAATCCTTATCAGTAGGCTACTTGGTTGGTAAAAAATAAGATATAAAACGAAAAAAGTTTGTAGGTTGAAAGAAAGAAGATAAGACATGCAAATTGGTATCATGATATAAAAGTGACAACCGAAACGTTCGAGAAAAACACAAGCAAACGGTGTAAGACAACAAAGAATTAAAATAATCAGCAACGCCTCATTCAAGCTATTACAAATACTTGGCCTATCAATACGTGATCGTGGTGAGTAATTCGTTAAGATGATTCGAGAAACAAAACTAAATATTTTGAAATTTACGTACGAAATTGCCAGCCGTGACCGGCTTTGCTGTAAAAGAGGATCGATTCAATATATGTTAATGGTTGGTTCCGCTGATTCATTTTTCGACAGGCATCCCATATTTGTGTGATCTTTTTATTCAAACCAATGTTATAATGCTTTTTTATTTAGCATGATTTGTTTCCGTCTTTCTTCACACACTCTATTCATCGATCTCAGTCTTTGAAGAGACAAGAGACAAAAGCACAATATAATGTGATTCTAAACCTAATAAGACTACATGCAAAAATGAAACGGATACATTGGTGAACAGTTCATGCGAGTATAAGTGCCAGTGGACAAGCTTCGCGATTCATAGCAATGAACAACATTGAGGGCCAACTATTTCGACCCACCGAAGAAAGTATCATAGCGAAGACGAAACGGCTTTAGACTATTCAGCAATAAGAAAAACTAAGATCGACAAGCTTTGAGCAACAGATCCATGCGCCAATGTCCCTTTACAAAACTTAAGCTCTTTCACGAATTTTTTAGGCTGGTGTTGAATAGTTCGGAAACAATAAGAAGTCACTAGAAAGGACGCCAAAAGGCATCGCACAGTATCGCTACACGAATGTCTAAGAGTTAGGGAATTGAACTTGCTATTCACACATCCGTTTAGCAAAATGTCGGCGAAAACTTTCCAATTACATGGAGATGGTTCAGAGTCAGATGAACATATTTAACTTCACACAGTAACCATTAAGAGAGAGGATGGGGAGCCTTAGACTATCTATCTATTTGTCGGACTCGTCGTAAAGAGTGTCAGATCATAAAAGAATGCGTAAAACTACAAGTAACCCACGAAAAACCATACCTAAATTCGTCAGACTACCCATTCATGTGCCTGCATAACGGAGAAATTATAAAATAACAAGGAATTCTGTGGAAAAAAGCAAGAAAAATTTCAAACCATAAATCTAGGCCCAGAGAAACGAGAATTATTGTCAGATTATCTGCTAATGTATCAGAAAGAGGACGAAAATTTTCAGTTGACAGACTTGGGTGTTGATGTAGGGTATGGGGTATGAATTACTGTTAATTGTCGGAAAGGAAAAAGATCGAATGGTAAAATCTCGAAAACCTCGAAAGTGTAAAATGTAAAATCAATTCGAGGACTTGACAGATACCTGTTTTATGACTTATAAATGCATTGAATAATGATAAAACTGTAGAAATAAAAGAGGATGAATCTACAAAATTGATTGTGATGTGATATTTTATCGCTTTAGCGGGAGAGAAAAGAATAACATAAAATAAACGTTAAAAGAAATAGGCTGATAACAGAAAAAAAACAGTATTGAGTAGAAGTTCATGTTTTAGACTTTAGGCCGTTTGCTACAAGTAATGCTAAATTTTGAAGATATTATAGTGTCCGCATTTTCAAATGCTGACGATAAAATTTTGAAGTCGATGATCAATAAGAGTTGTTTTTCTCTTGTTTTCTTTGGTGCAGCACTGTGAACATGAAAAAAATTGTTGTTGAAATACTACCTTCTCCATTTTAATAACAGAAATAAAGTGTCAATGTTAGAATGATGTTGATTTATTTAACTGGTACACATACGAATATAAGACTAACAAAGGCTTTCCTTTAGTATTAGCAATAAATTCAATCAAGATCATAATATGAAAATACAACTGCCTGTTATGGAATGACGATAAATGAATTTATGCACACATGTTTCTATGTAGACAGAAGACTGAGGAGACGGACGACAAATACAGAGAAGGGAAAGCATGACTCATTAGTCATTCAGTGTTATCTATTATTTTTCGAACTTTCGAGATTTTTTATGTTCGATATTTTTCTAATTTGACATTTTTTTCGGTCTTTTTCTTGTTGAGATTTTGCTTTTTGATATGATATCTTTTGGGCAATTAACACTCTCCCAGGGGTTATGGGCGGATGTACGTGTAGGTATGAATGTGTGGTTGGAATCTGTACTGACATTCACCCCTAGATCCACGTGCACCCACCCACATTCCATACCAATCCGTACTCACATCCATGTACGCCTCGCACCGGTACCCACTTGTCTCTTTTGAAGAAAACGCGTATATACCAATAGGTAACAATTATTGCTTACTACTTCTAGTACATATTTCTCTCTTGTCACGAATAAGATTGAATAAATGAGATAAATCGGAGTAGGAAAACATGAAGGAAGTTTGTAATGTGGGACGGATAGCGTCATGTTCTTTCCTATTTAAATGATGTCGCAAAGTATTTTATATCATAAGAAACATGGGGTGCTACAAAATCTATCAACTATTAATCTTTGAGCGAGGGTAAAGTGGAGTGAGTAAGAGTGAATCTATGATATTCACCCATCTCCACCTTCTCACACCACCTGCCTACAAAATTTGTGTTTTGCAGTGATCTCTACTTCAAGTGGTGAGTTGCGTCCAAGATCGTGATAGACATTCTAGTAACATTAACCAATCTCGTTAGTGATATCGATAAGCTCAGTCGCAAATCCGAATTCATTTGCCGGCTTCTTCCGAAATATCATTTTTTTTTGAATATTCAGAATCATTTATTAACTTTTTCTTTCATGTAAAGTATTATATTCCCGAGAAGTTTAATAGCTTCGTCATATGTCAAATTTCGGTCTCGTACAGATTGCGGTAGCAGCTTTTTACTATAAAACGTTTCCTTACCAGTGATTATCAAATACCCGGATACAGACGAACAGATATAGAATGTTGTGAATAACGTTTTGATCATCTTGAGAATTCAGAAAAACTATGCTGCAAGTTTTTTTATTGATTTTTTTGTTCGATCTTAAATAAAAACACCTGTTGAGGGTTTGAAACTAAAAACTTTTGTTTCAATTTTTTGCTGAAATTTTTGCTCATTATCTGCGAAGACGTTCACGTTGAATAATTGTCAAAATGATCGATGACTATTCTGCTCGTTAATGAGAAGTTTTGATCACGGCTTCGTTCTTGGAAGAATATTCCTATGACAGATTTTCCATGGTTGATTTAAATGAAGCGACTATTGCACAGGAATACTCGTGTCATACCACGTGTGCACTCAGTATCATGAGTGAAATGTGTGTAAGTCTTTTTAGAAAGTGGAACCATGTTTAAGTAATCCCAACACCATCGTTAGTCCAGCATGTGCTGTCTTTTTCAGAACTGCAACTGTAGTACGAGAACTCTACACATTCCAATCTATCGAAGAAAGAGTTTTAGTTTAGGAAAGGTTTTACTCCAGAAAAAGCTTATTTAGTAATGCTTGTGAGCAGATTGTAGGTTAAATGGCAGCGGCTGTTGCTTACCAGCGCAAACGTGCCTTAGTTATCGGTATCAATAGGTACCATAGGAACTCATTGCAATGTTGTATTAATGATGCTGAGGATTTAAAAGCAGCACTTGGACGTATTGAATTCGACGTATTACATGGCATCGATTGCAATATTGGTCAATTCTACGAACTGATTGATGAATTCGTCTCAGGAATTCAACTTACGGATTTAACATTAGTTTATTTTGCTGGACATGGAAAACAAAGCGATAATGAAAATTATTTATTACCTTCAGATTATGACTATGATTTTCGTGGTAGTGAGAGTGACTATATTATCAAGCATGCTATTAATGTACAATATATAATGAAGAAAATAGAGGATAAACGCTGCTGTATCACGATATTGATATTTGACTGTTGCAGAAAATCCGTGAGAGATCGAAATCCAGGTATCCAAGGTTTATCAGCTATGCACGCGTCATCACATACTTTAATAGCGTTCTCTTGTGCACCTGGTAAAACAGCACTTGATGAAACACAAAATGGAAGAAATAGTATTTTTACTGGAAGTTTGTTAGACCACATTAAAAAACCTAACATACATATCGAAGACACTTTTATGGCTGTTGCTCGTGAGGTTCAATCGATTACTGGTGGATTTCAGCGACCATTTAGATCAGCTGATCTAACTGAAAAGGTTTATCTAGTGGCAAATAAAGTTCCAGGTAAGTCAAGAACAATTAAGGCCAGGTATGGTTAGAATGGAGTTAGTCAGATTATGAAAATTCTGTCTTGCATTGCGTCAATTGCCAAGGGAGGTACTTCAGCTGTTTAAAAGCTTATGACTTTATTCCTTTGCTACCAGTAGGTTTTAATCGGACTAAAAACACTCCTAAAGCGTTAGTGCCCATGACTCTTCTGCTCCTAGATATTATTAAAATGTATGTCAAAAACACAGGATTTTTATCAATTGCCTTGTAAAACTGTTTCGCTATCAGTCTAAAGATTTCGGAGGTTCCATATAGCCACGAAACTCGATAGCAAGCACTAATGCATCCAAATGTCAAATATTGACTACCTTGAAATATGAAGCAATTAACGTTTAAGAGTAAAATATCTGTTCTCAAACGATTTCTTTCATATCTCAAAAACACAAAAAAATATCTTGATCATTAAGGATGTGGGCGCGGGATGTGAGTGTGGATGGGTGTGGGTGTAGAGTTGCGTGTCTCCTTTCAAAACACAGTCATACTAGCATGCACACCCACACCACATCCCCTCTCCTAAGCACAATATGAACGACTATCTATGCTTTTAGTTCAACCTCAAGTCGAAGCTTCGAAACAAGTCAACACTCAATCATGTGCCATTGGTCAAGATACTCAGATCTCATGGAAGCTCAAGGGCATCGAGAAACCACAAGTAAGATGGTTCTTTAATGATCAACCACTTTCAACTAACGATTGCCTTCGAGTGGCCGAGGCTGATGATGGAACATCGACACTGTTCATTCGTCAAACTGAACTCGCTGATCAAGGTGTCTACACTGCTCGAGCGATCAACGTGGTGGATGCAGCTGAAGTCAAAATTACTTTGTTCATCATTTGTATTAAACCCGTCATCAAATTTGATCTCAATGCTTCACTGGAAGCCATGGCAGGGGAAGCTATGACACTTAAAATCATTGCTAATGGAGCACCAAAGCCTGACATTATTTGGATGAGAAATAGCGGTGAACTCACAACCAATGATAGGATTCAAATGACAACGTCGACTTTTGATGATGAATTATACACATTGACTGTCTTAAACGTACAACCACAAGATGAAGGAGAATATTCAGCCAAGATTTCCAATGTTGGTGGATCACTTCAATCTAATAAGTGCAAAGTCAGTATTTCGAGTACGTGAACTTCGCTTTTCTTGTTCTTAAGTACATATGCCATTGTAGAATCGCCAGTGTTTGTTGCCAAACCGATAACGCAAAAAGTAAAACAAGGTGAAGCAGCTCTGTTCAAGGCGCAAATCGATGGATATCCGACACCACAGATCAGTTGGCTTCTCAATGGCAAACAGCTAACAGCGGAAGAAGGTGTTCAAATGCAGTTCGATGCTACGATTGGTCAAACGAAGTTGTCCATTCAAAAGGTCGATCTAGAACAACATGCAGGTTCGATTACTTGTCGACTCGAGAATTCATATGGCAATGAAGAAGAAACTGTTCAACTCATTGTTCTTGATGCACCAATAATCATCACACAATTGCCCAAAGAACAAGAAACTGTGAGTGGACGAGATGTCACTTTGAAAGTAATTGTGCAAGGATCACCACCACCACCATCTGCTCAATGGTTCTTCAAAGATATACTCCTTGGACCAGAGAATGCATTAGTAGACGAAGCGAAGAATGAGTATTAACTATTGATTCAACAGGCAACAGTGACACAGAGTGAAGGAATCTATCGAGTCGTGTTGAAGAACGAAGTTGGTGAAGTGCAGTCGACTCCATGTATACTTACAGTGCTGGAGCCAGTGAAATTGACAAGAGTGAAACCAGCTTCGGATGCAATTTACTTGCAAGAGGGCAAAGCATTTGACATCGTCGTGGATGTTAGTGGCAAGGAAGCACCGAAAATGCAGCTGATTAAAGATGGCAAAGCAATGCAGTTCATAAGCGAGGGAACAACACGATACACATTCTCAGTAGCTAGTGTAAAGCGAGAAGATCAAGGTGTGTACAAGGTGATAGCAATGAATAAGACATCAACTGAAGAGATGGCTGTCACTCTCAATGTTACTGGTGAGTTTACCTGCGTTTGAAAAACAATTTTGCAGCATACTAATCCTGTACATCCTCATGAGATAGTTACTTCTTAATTGTCCTTGGCTGCCATTGTGTAGCTAAGCTATGGATTATTTTCGTCATACGTATCAAAACTTTCAATTCCAGTGTAAAGTCAAGCGAAACTCTGCAACTGCCATCCTTCTCATTCATATTCACACATAGCACATTTTTCTTAAAGTTTATTATTCGTGAGTTGGATTCGATTAGCATAAATAATATAGTGATGTTTTAAAGATTCGTCCAAATATGATTCATTTTGCTAATACATCTTTCAATTGTTTTGCAAAGTTCAAAATTTGAGCTTCAGATTTTCTCTAACAATGAAAGGTTTTGTACTGTTAGTAAAGAACAATAGATATATTCGAATTCGATTGAAGCTCTCACTGCTAAAGTGATAAATTTGAAATATGAACTGCTAGTGGCATGAACGGAGCGAGACAATGGATTTTAAAAGTATTTACGGTATGTGTAAGATTTTCACCAGGCAAACTTTAAAACATCTTTTATTAAACGCTCTAATTTTTTTGTGATAGAAAAGGAATGATCACCTAGATAATAGTTAGTACCAACCTTTGATTCACATGACACTATCACAGACATTAGAAGAAGTAGTCATAAGTTCTAAACTTCTACTTTTCATTACGCGTCCAAAAACAGACGTATCAGAAGAAACTTTTGTTCTTCTGCTACAAATTTTTCGAACATCTTTTGCTTCCTCAGAACAAGGGAAAATGAGTTTCGTTCAGAGATGCGCATCAAAGCTTATGTCAACTATCATTTTTATAAATTTACCGAGTCTTCCATGGGAAGAGTTCGGGCCAAGTGACGCATCTCATTAGAACCATTGACATTTGAGTGTCAAATGAACCAATGTAGGCCTTTGTCGACTTAATTTGATTATTGAGATACTTGCTTTTTAAGTGTCAATGATAAAATCGCATATATAGTTCAAAAATGCGTTACTATTTAGCAGTTCTTTTTCACTATAACTGAATTTCTGACTGAACTCAATAACATATTCGGAATCAACACAAAAACCTACATCACATCGTAAACATATCAGCTAAATTATTTTAATGAAAAATGTACCTGAGGATGTGCAGTTTCAGTTAGTTGAACACTAATGTCACTAAATCAATGTAGTTAACGAAAATGGACTACACGGGGCACGCTGACATTGGCATCAGTATTCACTGAAACATTTGAATACACCATTACAAATGGAGTATATTTTGATATAGCTGGCAAGTCAAAGTTGCAGCGAATGTAGTTATCAGTGCAATCAATCTCCCAGTGAATCTTGTGTTAGTGACTGACTGTCAGTATTCCAGTATTTACACCAAAACTACACATCGCTACACGCTCCTCGAGTGCATTTCAAGGGAAACTGAACAAAAGCAATTCTGAGAGACTCTTATGTACTTTTTTGTGAAACACGATCTGAAAGGAGTGTTGAAGTATTTAAGGGTAGAAATTTGGACCCCCCCTCCCCCCCACAGACCGTGACAGACACTCACGTGACCCATCACAGACCGTGACAGACTCTCACGTGGCTCATCACAGACCGTGACAGACATCTTAATTAATTAATTAGTATTTAATTAATTAATTAGTATTTAATTAATTAATTCGTATTTGATTAATTAATTAGTATTTAATTGATTAATTGATTAATTAGTATTTAATTCGCTAATTAACCGTCACAGACCGTGACAGACAGGGTTTGACCCATCACAGACCGTGACAGACAGGCTTTGGACCCATCACAGACCGTGACAGATATGCTTTAGACCCATCACAGACCGTGACAGACAGGCTTTGGACCCATCACAGACCGTGACAGACAGGCTTTGGACCCATCACAGACCGTGACAGACAGGATCTGGACCCATCACAGACCGTGACAGACATGCTTTAGACCCATCACAGACCGTGACAGACAGGCTTTAGACTCATTACAGACCATGACAGACAGGGCTCTGTACCCATCACAGGCCGTGGCAGACAGGGTCTGGACCCATCACAGACCGTGACAGACAGGCTTTAGACCCATCACAGACCGTGACAGACAGGCTTTGGACCCATCACAGACCGTGACAGACAGGATCTGGACCCATCACAGACCGTGACAGACATGCTTTAGACCCATCACAGACCGTGGCAGACAGGCTTTAGACCCATCACAGACCGTGGCAGACAGGGTCTGGACCCATCACAGACCGTGACAGCGAAACTGTACTTCTAAAGCATCAGATAAACGGTTAGCTACAAATGTATTGCAAAGAAATAGAACAAAACGATTTCCATTTAATTAGTAACAACAGATCCATCGTGTTTCACATTTTTAATCCCGCAAGGGATTGCGCTAACAGCTTTTTATAAAAGCATCCTTACCTTAGAATATAAACACATGCATCATTAATTTGATCAATTTTACTGCTATCATCAAGAGAATTCTATTTTTCTATAGAACAAAACAGATTTGAAAAACAATCCAAAAAAATGTTTCTATAGATCGCGATAGGACGATTCTAACAAGATGACATATTAGGTCTTATTTTTTTCTCACAAAAATGAAGTTGGATTTGCATAGAAACATACGTGAAAGAATCTAAACGTATTAAACACTTATTAAGACATAAACGATTGTTTTGATTCCAGGCACTTTGGCAATGGCTGCTGCTGGAATTATCTCCATCATCAGCAAAAAGGTCAGACAATAATCACTCTAGGAAACAAATATTCACTAGATGTCTCCTACTTTTAGCTTTTCGGTATGGAAATCAGTAATCCAACAACTAAAGGTAGGTTATCTTTAATTATCTCTTTGGGCAAAATTAGTGATGGTAACAGTTATGTGCATAAAATCATTGGAATTCCTCAGGCGCACTGTATTCACACAAGGAATTCGTAAATGGTACCCAGGCAGATAACACCTGTAGAAACAATGAGTCAGTACGCGTTAAGATTTTGTAATAACGCCATTTAAACGAAATATTATCGTTAAAACAGCGTTTTTACGAAATTATAAACAAGTTAAAACACGTTACGTGATCTTCAGCCTGTTAAAACTTATACTTTTTCGAAACCTACGCTTTTTTCTGTTGGGACCGCTATTGAGTTTACGAGTTAAAATTAAAAGGTGTTCAAAGAACTCGACAGACTTTAATGAAGTGATATCTTATAGGTAACTTGAATTATTTTTTGTCTTTTGATACTGGTTTACTGCATCCAATATAGGCTTATTATAGCTTATGTATTTAGCAGAATTTAAGCTTTTTATATTAATATATCTTATCTCATGAATGCTGGAATATAGATTGTATTTAGCAGTTTTAATTGATTCTTGTTTAAGCTGGTTCATATCATAGTTTTGTTTCAAATTCATATTCGATTATAATCTGCTTATGTAATAGATTTATTATTAGGTTGTTGTACTACTTTTATCAATACTTCTTACAATGAGAAGGATTTTAAGTCCACAATATAAGTTTAAATAATCCTGCTTTAATATATAAAAGGAAAAATATGAATAGTATGATTTAATCTTTTATTCACAATATAAAATAAATAAGTATTAATGAATCGAAGATAATAGTCAAGTAGATTTTAAATGATTGGAAAATATTTGGAATCCACAGATTATAACAGTTTTTCAAACGAAAAAAGTATGAATAGTCTACCAGATGCATAGGTATTGAATGAAAAAATGCATATTAACGCGTTTTACTTGTCTGATTTCTATAGACAGTCTATCACATGTTTCTAGAATTGGTACTGTATCCTGAAATTTTTGCTGCACTCTAAAATCTTCTTCTGAAGGATTTTGTAAACATCCTAATGCTAATTTGAGTAGATAATGAGAAACAACCAAAAGCAATTTTTATGTGGCAACGATAAATCATCAGATTAACACGGCTTTTCTGACACTTAGACTAATAGATTTTTTCGTTCCAATTCATTCCTTTTTATGCTTCATTGTTTCTTTTATTTCTTTCCTTCAGCCACTTATACTTTTTTACTAGAGCATGTTCATGATATTGTTTCTTGCTTTGTAATCTATGTCATAGATTATTGCGCAGAAACATGCTTCTCATAAAAAATTTTTTTTTTCTTCTCATTAAGTCAAGATAGGATCAATATAACCAATTGAGAAATATTCTAGCGTGAAGAGCAAATAATGAACTCTACACTGTAGTTGGTTTTATGTACCTGGTCTCTGATTTACTTCGTCTCAGACAATTTAGTCATACAAACAAATAAGAAAAAATATATGATATTCCCTTTTTTTCTTCTCTCAGCCGTGTGTTGATGAAGGACATTTTTTAAAAATGTCTTTACATTCTTCATTATGAGATGTTTTCTCAATCGGTCATTCTTCTTTTTCCTATTTTACCCTTGGAGAATGCATAAGATCCTTCTCTTGAGGGTGTGGGATGTGGGTGTGAATTTTTCTTATTTTGTTCCGCACCCATACCCACACTCAAAAGATAAATCACACATATGTAGCGACATGTGAGACTAGAATGAAATTATGGATTGATTTGAGAGTTTTTTAATATGCTCATGTTTT